AGGCTAGGAGTCCCCGGAGACAGCAGGCAGGGGCTCTGGCAGGAGGACCCAAGCCATCCCCAATAGACAGCAGGGAGCCTTGGTGGACTCCCAGCATCTCTTTCACTGTTCTTGTTCCCAGGTGACCCTGCTGGACTTTGGTGCAAGCCGAGAATTTGGGACCGAATTCACAGACCATTACATTGAGGTGAGTTCCCCCAACCCTGTGGTCTGAAGGGCCGAGTCTCAAGCCAGATACTGAGGCAAGGGTGAGAAGGAGAAATATACTATCTGGAATCAAGAAATAAGAAATGATAGTAATGCTAATAGCAGCTAACAAATGCCAAGCACTTAATGCCAGGTGCTGTTTTAAGTGCTAGACATGTAGTAACTGACTTAAATCACTCAGCAACTCCATGGGCTAAGGACCATTTTTAGCCCCAATTTACACATGAACTAACTGGGGCTCAGAGAGGTTAAGTCACTTGCCCAAGGTCACAGCAGACCTGGGATTCAAGCCCAAGTGGTCTGGGTCCAGAGCCCATGCTTCCAACCCTGACTAGCCTCCTGCTAAGAGAGAGGCCTCTGAAAGCCATCCTCTCACCTCCCCACAACCCACACTGTCCCAAATCTTGGTGTCCAGCCTTGCCCTCACATACCTCCCTGGCAGGCTGCTTCCTACAGAGCTGCTCTGTCCTCAGGAAGTGCTTCCTCACTTGCTGTCTGTCCCTGCCACTAACTTGGGTCAATTTGTCTCAGAGGCCACAGAGAACACCATCTCACTGATTAGTGAGGTTGGACATTCAACCTGGGTTTTCTTATCATTTAGTCATCAATTCAAACATTCTTTGAAACCACCTGTGTGCCCAGCCTTATTCTGGGTAAACCGGGGACAATAATGACCAACCCAATCCAAGTCCCCACCTTAGGAGAGCTCACAGTCCAATGAGGGTACAGACAGTGAAGACCCAGAGCAGTCAGGGCTGGGATGGGGAGGCACAGGGCACTGTGGGAGCTCAGAGAAGCGTGGGCCAGCCCTAGGGAGTCAGGAAGGGCTTCCTAAGCGAGGAGCTATCAGAGCTGAGACCTGAGGGATGAGGAGACCATAAGGGAGAAGCTAGGAGGGTATTCCAGATCTATAACATGTACCAAAGCTAAGAGACGAGAAGGGACATTCCCATTAAAGCAGCACTTCTCAAACTTGAATGTGTAACTGAAATCCCTCACCCCCCCATGACCCTGCTAATGTGCGGATTCTGGTCTGGAGTTTGGCATAAGATGATGCATTGCTAATACACACCCAGGTACAGGAACCACACTTTGAGAAGTAAAGTCCTAGGGGACCAAAATGAAGTTCATGTTCTGAGTGGGCAAGTAGGTTGGGGGCAGAGGAGGAGCCAGCAATGAGAGTGGAACCAAATCACGCTGGGTCTCAGAAACCATGCTTCATAGCTTGTACTTCATGTTGGTGCTTAGGGGAGCCGTGAGAGGGATTTGAGCAGGAGAGGGGCACAGTCAGAATTAGGAAACCTTCTCTGAATAACAGGTGGTCTTTAAGACTAACAGCTGGGAGCTCATGGAGGCTGTGGGGAAAGGAAGAATGGTGTCTGGGGCAAGGCCCAGGGCTCTGGGTTGGGTAACTGGGCATGGTGGGGCCATCCTTGAGGTAGGGACAGGAAGGAGGGGCTGGTAACCCCCATTTCCTGCCACATATACAGGCTTCTTAGGGCCTGTCCTCTGCAGGCCACTTGGATCAATCGTTGGGACACCTCATGCCCTGCCCCTCCCCCGCCCCACCTCCAGACTACTTACCATGGCTCTCCTGCCACCTCCTCAGTCTTTTCCAATTTAAAAAAGCCCTGTCACACTGGCCCCCAAGGACCATATAGGCCTCACGGATGACCAGACAAGCTTGAGCATGGAAGCTGAGACAGAGTGGAACTGACAGATTTAATCTGTACCCCTTCCTTCTCAAGGAAGGGCAACTCACTGGTTAAGGGATCTCCCAGGTTCCATTCCTCGCCTTTCTATTGCATACTCTGAGCCTGTTTGCTCATGTGTGAGGTTAGGACCCTCACACCCACCTCTTAATAATAGTAGCTGATTATACTTATGGTGCTTCCTCCGTGCCGGCACAGTGCTCAGCACTGCATAGCTATCACCTCCTTTAGCCTCACGACAACCCCATGAGGAAGATAATTCCAACGTCCCCACTTCACAGATGAGAAATCAAAGGCCTGAGACGAAGAACCTTGCCCAGAGTCAGTCAGCAAGTGGCAGAGCTGGGACTGAGCCCAGGCAGCTTCTTTCTGTCCATCTGCCCTTGTACCCTCAACTCTCCTCATTTGCACTCATGGCTGGAGGGGTGTTTAGCTAATTTGCTCAACAAAAGTTCACTAAAGGTCTCCTGAGTGCCAAAGCCTGTGCCACATGGGACTGAACCCATCCAGGATTCCTGTTATCTCAGGGCTCCAAGTCCAGTGCAGGAGGCAGACATTAGCAGACAACCAGGTGACCAGAGATGGTCCAGTGGCAACCTTGGGTACAGTTTTAGGTCATAGTCGCATCCGTGGCCACATGAATATTTGGACTTATGAGCAGTATTTGACATTTATTTTCCTTTGTGCTCTTTCACTGCCTAGTTCCCAGCCAGGCAGGCAGAACCCCTGACCACTCCACTCTACAGGCTCTAGGACAGTCGTGAGACACAGCTGGGCAAGGTGAGGCAAGGCAGGAGAGGCTTCTAGGTGAGAGGCCCTAGGCAGATGAGAAGGAAAGTGGGTACTATCTCCTTTCTCCAGTTCCCCAGACCCCCCCCCCACCCATGAACCCTTGAACTCCACAGAGCCTTTGACCATGTACCCCACACCCATCTAACCAGGTGGTGATGGCTGCAGCCAATGGAGACAGAGACCGGGTCCTGCAGAAATCCCAGGACCTCAAATTCCTCACAGGCTTTGAAACCAAGGTTGGGAGTCACTGGGGGAGTAGGGTATGGAATCTGTTGTGGGAGGGGTGGGGTAGGCATGGGGGCTGCTTAACTCTGTTGGGGAACTCCGGGGAATGAGGAACTGCTGCTCCATACTTGGGGCCTCTGGGGAGGAGTGGGGGGAATGGGAGCTGCTTTGCCTCAGGAACCCTGGGAAAATGGGCACCACCTACCTATTCTGGAGAAAGCAAATGGGGGAATGGAACCTGCTTCTCTGGTCTACAGAGTGAGGTCTGTTTGTGTATTGGAGGCTCTGAGAGGGAGTGAAAGGCCATTTCCTTTGGGAGGAGTTGGGGGCTGCTTGCTTTCCAGGGGCTCTGGAAGGAGCCTGGGGCTTTTGTTTACACTGGACATTGTGAGGGAGCTGAGAGCTGCTTGTTAGTTTTGGCTTAAGTGAAGAGCTGTACCTCTCCTCTTCCCCACCCGTAGGCATTCTCCGATGCCCATGTGGAGGCTGTGATGATCCTGGGAGAGCCTTTCGCCACCCAGGGCCCCTACAACTTTGGGGCGGCGGATACTGCCCGGCGCGTGCAGGGCCTCATCCCAGTGCTGCTGCAGCACCGGCTCCGCCCACCGCCTGAGGAGACCTACGCCCTGCACCGCAAGTTGGCGGGGGCTTTCCTGACCTGCGCCCGCCTCCGCGCCAACATCCACTGCCAGGACCTCTTCCAGGATACCTACCACCGCTACTGGGCCGGTCGTCAGACTCAGCCACTGCCCCAAGCCTCCTAACCAGAGGGGCGGTCTGGTCAGACCCCTCAGACAGCTCCTTCCTGGGAATCCGGCCAGTAGAGGGCCATCCTTTCCACTCTGTTCCAGTCTGGGGACGACTCCCTGGGCTTCCCAGTACAGCCTAGCACCCTTTGCTGGAGACTGGGGAATCCTGGGGCTAGGGAACTCCCCACTTCACTCTCCCATATCCTGCTCTCCCCACCCCAAAGTGGGCATCAAGGAACTCCAGGGATTAATTTATTTCTGCCAACATTTGAGAGAGCTTCAGGCACCCTGCACGCCAAACGGAGATGCAGACTCACCTAGAGGGGAGCCCCTCGCCTGTGTCTCTGGTCTCTCACAGATCTGGCCAATGAGAGTGGAGGGGTGTTAGTTGGAAGCAGCCCTCACCTTTGCCTCCCTCATCCCTCGACCAGCTGTCTTTTCCTCATCCATCCTCTCTGTGTTGGGGGTGTTTGAACCTTCAGTTTGAATAAAAGCAGCCCTCCCCTTCCCCAGCTCTTTTCTCTGCGCTGGGTCGGGAGGAGGAGCTCGCGGGCAGCCTCCAGGTGCAGATGGCCAGCCCCCTCCCACCCTCTTGTCTGAAAGCCGTGGTACTGCCTGAGCCATCTGTTGCCGGGAACCTCCTTCTCCCCTTTCCCTCCCACCCCCAACCCCTCCCGCACGTGCAGACCACCTGCTCGTAAGACTGCGGCAGCTGAGAAGGCCTCCCCCTCTACACCACTACCCCCGACGCCCTGGCTCCCAGCAACCTCGCCTTTGCTAATGGGCCATAATGCCCCTGCCAGATGCTTTGCCAAACCCACAGGATAGGGCGGGAGCGGGGGCGCCATGGCAGTCAGAACCGCGCCCAAGTCCCCAGCCTGGCGCCCCCACCGCCTGTGCCAAACGGATCGCACGCCGGAACGCCGGGGTCTGTTCATTCCCCTCCCATTCCTTGCAAAAAGTGCCTTGTCACTGCTCCTGCCAGCCTCCGCCGGGATAGGAAAATCATGGGGTTAGCTGGAAGATCTGAGGATGTGGAGCGGCGAGACGGTTCCCGAAGCAACTCTTTCGGACACAGAACTGAAGGAGACCTGAGGTCAGGGGTTACCAAGGGAAAGGGAGTCCAGGCTTCGAAAGACCTAAGGGGAAACTCCGCGGGGCTCACGTGCAAGCTCAGCCGGGGACTGGCCAATGGGCGTGGCGGGGCGGTGGCAGTAAGGGAGGGGGCGGGGTTATACTTGCGTGTAGGCGGGGCCTGCAGGCCGAGGGGGCGGGGTCTTTCTGTATATCCAGCAGGCGGTGGGCCAGTGGGCGGGGGCGGGGCAGGGAGCTGAGGCGGGAGGGGCGCTCCCCCCCTGCCCCCAGAACGGAAATCTCGGGGAACCGAGCAGGCTGGCGGGCGTGCATCTCGCACCATCCTTGGGTCTCTGGTCTCCGCCAGCGTCGGACAGAGCTACCGCCGCCACCGCCACAACAGCAGCACCAACAGCATTCGGGGATCCGGGCCTGGCGGGGGCCGCGGGAGGCGGGGGCGCCCGGGCCCTGGATGTCCCGGAGCGCAGCGGCCAGCGTGAGAAGGGCGGGAGAGTGGGGCTCGGGTAGGGGGGCGGCGCCGCTGCTGATGTGGCGGGGGGCGGGGGGGGGGGTTGGAGGCAGCCGCGGCGCCCGGATGGAGAGGGTGCCAATGCTGTCGAGGGTGGTCCTGGGTGGGAGTCCACGAACAAACCCCCCACCGACCCAAAGCTTGGGAAACACAGGCCCTCCCTTACCGAGGTCCTGGAGATAAGGGTGCCGGACGCAGAACTCCCCCTCAGGGAAATCAAGGACAGGGGACAGATTTTCTGCATAACTCCCTAGGCAAGGTTTTGGGGATGGGTTCGGGACACAACCCCCGGATGAAGCCAAGGCCTGCTGGAGGCGATCCCAGGACCAGACGCCATCCAGACTCCTCCCTGCCTGAGGGGGGTCTGTGAGCACAACAACCCTCAAGGCAAGGTCTCGATCGGGTCCCTGGGCACAGCTTCCCTACCAAGCCAAGGCTGAGGGCAATTTCAGGCACAATCTGTCCCCAGGCCTCAGAGGAGTCCTGGGCATAGCATCCCACCCGCCTCCTCCCAATCCTTGGGCGGTGTCCTAGGAACAGCCCCTTCTCAAAATAAGGTCCCTGTGCCTGGGACTCCACTCCCACTGTAGCCTGAATACAATTAGGGAAATTTCAGGCACTTTCCCTCCTTGGTCAAGGGTCTCAGGGCATAGGTCCCTGGGACACCCTCTTTGTCCCTGGGGTTGCCCAGCTGCCTGGGAGTGGCCCCACCCTCAGATAATGTGCTGGCCCCTCAGGCTCCAGGATTCATGCTGGGAGGTGGGGGAGAGGTTTCCCAGGAACCGGGTGCAGCCTTGTCTGTCTGCAGCATCTGAGGTGATGGCGGCTTTGTGTGTGGTACCTGGGGGAGGGGGGAAGCAAGCGACCGGGAGATGGCTAAGAGTGTGACCCCGTGTTTGCATGACTGTCTGTGTGTGTGTCTGTGCTATAGCTGGTGACTATGAGGAATCCTGTGTGTGTACCTGTCTTGTGATTGTGGTAGTGTCTGCGAGTGACCCCAGCATTTGTGTGACTGTATACGTGTGTATGACAACAGCTCAGTGTGCATGAACCCTGTACTTTTTGTGTGTGAGTGTTTGGGTGATTGTGACTGTGGACTTGTGTCTGTGGTTCCATCTTTAGTGACCCTGTGTTTGTGTGCCTTGGTAACTGTGACTGGGTATGTGACAGTGTATGTGTTAAGTCTGGGGTTGGACGTGTTGTGTGTATGTGGCTGACTGAAGATGTGGGTGGAGTTGCAACTGTGTGTAAGTGGAGTGGTGACCATGACTCTGTCCATGTGCAATCTTCCAGTGACTGAACATTTGTGGTTATACCTGCAACTGGTTTTATATTTGTGCCACACATGGGTCTGTGTGACACACAATGTCCCTGCAACTCTGGGTGTGTAACTGCCATTATAGATGAAGTCTGTCACATCGTGCCTGTGTGACTGGGGTTGTGTGATGGCACTGTGACTTGTATGTTTGTGTGACTGGTTGTGTGTTCAGAGCCATGTCTGTGTGTGTGACTGGGATTGTATAAATGATGGCATCTAGCTCTGTGTGTTGATACTGAGTGATGGTGTGCATTTACAATCATGAATGTGTGATTTGGGTTATGTACTTGACTTGGGGTCTGAAACCCTGGCTGACCATTAATAGTGGGTTATTTCACTATGTCTGACTCTGTTTTTATAGCTGTGTCTATGTGTGATGGCATCAGGCTACTGTGTATGTTGGGGACATGCAGGTGACTGGGGCTTCTGTATTTGTTTGTGACCTGCATGTCTGTGACCCAGATGACTATATGTACCTGTGTCAATGTCACAGGCTGTGCGAGTGTCTGTAGCTGTGTGGCTGTTTGGTGTGTGTGTGTCTGCGTGCATGCTGGACTATTTGTATTTGAGTGTATAATTTGGTGACAGGGTGACTGAGGAGCTGTGTCTTTTTTTTTTTAAGATTTTTTATTTATTTATTTTTAGAGAGGGAAGGAAGGGAGAAAGAGAGAGAGAGAAACATCAATGTGCGGTTGCTGGAGGTCATGGCCTGCAACCCAGGCATGTGCCCTGACTGGGAATCGAACCTGTGACACTTTAGTTCACAGCCTGTGCTCAATCCACTGAGCTACGCCAGCCAGGGCAGGAGCTGTGTCTTTTGCATAAGCACAGCTATAAATGCTATGTTGGGTCCCTGCATTTCAGAGCATGCACGTAACTGTGTGCCTGTGGTACATGAAATAGAAATTGTGTCCTGATGGCTCTGTGTATGAGACACTGTGTATCTGGCCACATGGGGCTGTGACTGTATGAGTATGTGGCCACTTGTCTCTGTGACTTGTGTGTTTTCATGGAGACCATGTGTTTCTCTGTGATGCTATGATGTGGGACGGTTGGGTGTGGGATATTGGGTGATGGCACTATAACTGTGTGGCTGGGTAGTGTGGGTACTGAGGCTGTGTGACTCTGCATGCACAACCACCTCTGAAATGTGGATGGCTGTGACTTTGAACCGCCGACTGTTGGGCTATGCTTGAGTGTGGCCATCCTGGGGGATAGTTGTCTCTTGATGGCTGTATGCATGTCTTTGGTGTGCAAGCCTGTTTCCCTATAGTGTATGGGTCATGGCCACCAGCGTCTCTGTGTGATTGGGGATGGAGGACTATCCATCTAAGTTAGTTGATACTGTGACTAAATGTGAGCCTCTATGACTAGGTATGCGTGACTGTGTGACAGTGTGTGACCAAAAAGTGTGTTGGTGTGACTGATACAAGGGGTTGAGTGTCTTTGTGCAGCTTTATGCCTGTGGGTGATTGAACACATGTGGCTGTGACTGGGTGTGGCTGTGTGATCAGATGTGTGTATCTCTGCATTCATCCATGACCAGATGTCAACAGACAGCATTGGAGCTGGGTGTGACAAGTGTGTGTGCTGATTGTGTCTTTGTTACTGGGTGTGATTCTGAGTGGGAGTATCTTGGGTGACTGCCTGAGGAAAAGTTACTGTCTGGGTGTAGCTGTACATGTACCACTTGGGTGGGTATGACGGGCCCAGCTCTTTGTATGTGGCTGAGAAAATAGAAGTGACCACACACTAGCAGCTGATGTGACTAGGTATGTGTGGCAGTGCCTAGGCAGGCTGAGACTCTGTATGCATATGAGACATATGTCTGTAGTGAGACTGTGTATATCTGTGAACTTGGCTATGTGACAAGATATTTGTAGTGGTTGTGACTCCATGTGTGTCTGTGTGGCCTGGTGTATATAGTTGGGGTTGTGTCTGTGTGTAACTAAATGTGCAGAGCTGTAACCCAGTGCTAGGGACAACTGTAGCCATGAGTCGCCTGCAGACACCTGACTGTATGTTTGTGCATCCCTGGACATGTGCCTAGAGGGCAAGGCCACTTCCTCCTCACACCATCCCTGTGGGTACTGAGGGCCTTCTGAGGCCAGGATATCCCCTAACAAATGCCCCCAGACACACTTACTCATTCTTGGGCCCTTGCAGCCAGGTGGCTCATCCCCCTTGTAACAGTTGCTATGACAACCAAGCCCTCATCAGGGAGCGTGAAATGAAGTGGTGTTGGCTGATGTCCAACATCAGAGGGGATGAGGTAGGGGATCAAGCCCATCCCAAACCAGCCTCTCACCTTCTCTTCTGTCCCTTGAGCAGAGTGGACCCAGGAGGCCTGAGCAACATCTGTCCCCAGCCCCCTGTGGGGCCCTGGGGCCCCCTGAAACCTCCAGGACGGATCCAGGTGAGTGACCGGGTGGAGATGGGGCAGGGACTGAGTGGGTGGGTGGGTCTGACTAACATGACCAGAGAAACTGTCCCTGCAGTCACACAGGCCTAGTCACACTCATGAGTGGACACCTTCAAACCTCTTCCCTATACATTCAGTGACCATTCAAGCCCGATTCATGCTCAGACACACACGGGGACACTGAGACACACATCAACCTCCCCATATACATAAGTGCAGGGTCACATAAGCATGCAGACATATTCCCAGACAACACCCAGATTCTTTTAGACCAGAGGTGACAGACACTGAGCAGATTCTGACTCCAGGGCCACCCTGCACACAGAGACCAGACAACATGTGCAGACCCATGCTTCCACAGACAGCAGCCAGACTTCCTCAACTGACATGCCTCACAGACTCCACCTCTGGACCCATCTCCTCATAAAGAGCTATACTTCTAGCCCTGGCTGGTGCTGCTCAGTGGATTGAGCACCAACCTGTGAACCGAAGGGTTATCAGTTTGATTCCTGGTAGGGCACGTGCCTGGGATGTGGGCCAGGTCCCTGGTTAGGGGCATGCAAGAGGCAAGCAGCCTGTGAACCAAAGGGTCGTTGGTTGGATTCCCAGCTGGGGCACATGCCTGGGTTGCAGGCCAGGTCCCCAGTAGGGGGTGTTCGAGAGGCAACCAATCAATGTTTCTCTCATACGTCAGTGTTTCTCTCCCTCTCTTTCTCCCTCTCTTCCCCTCTCTCTAATATAAATCTGGGAAAAAAATTATTTTAACAAAAAAGAGCTACACTTCTGCAGACACCGTCTCACAAATAATAGTCATGAGCAGCTCTAAAAAATAACACACACCTCACATTCTCACACACCTTGCAGATGCACGGGTACACACTGACACACCCTCAGAACAACACCCGTGGACCCAACTCTACAACAGCCACATGCTCTGACAGACACACCCTCAACAAACAACAGCTGCAGTCTTGGACACCAGCATGGTCTCTTGGGTAACTCATACATACCCTCATCGATGACAACAGACAGTCGCCAATGACAATGGCCGCACTCTCACACAGACATGCAGCCTCACATTCAACTTCTTCCTGCTCAGAGACACATCCTCACCTCTCTGGCAACATTTGCCGACACACTCACAACCACTCACACATACGTACCCTTCAGCAACAACCTTCAGGGACCTATCCTCACAGACGACCACCATGTTCTTGGACACAGATCTCCCATGGACAGCATGCACAGACACACACTCTAGGGAACAACCACTTGGACCCACATCCTCCCGTGCAGCCCTTAGAAATACACACTCCCTGCAGTGGCATGTTCTGCTCTAGACACCTTCCCAGACACCATGCAGGGACACACCAGCCACACAGTCGCACACACACACAGTCCCCATCTGCTCACCCTCCTGGGACTGTCAGGATGGCTTATCAGTGAACAGTGTTTTTGTGAGGATTGTCTTAGTAGCTGGCCGTCTCCACCCTCACCCATACCTCTGGGAGTCACAGGTGTGCACTGCCCCAGGGTCCCATGCCTTACACTACACACTGTTGTCCATACTCTCTGGCCTTGGCTCTGGACCTCAGTTTCTGGACCTTCTAAGACCCCCCCAACATTTGACCCAGGCAATTCCCAACTCTTGTGCCTTCTGACCACCTCAGCCCCTGACCTCGTGACCCCTGACTTTGTGCCCCATAACCCAGTACTCTGCATTGCCTTGACTTCCCATTACGTTGGATCCTCATGATTCCAGACTGCCACATCCCCATTTCCATACCCCCCAAAAGCTGTGACCCACATCCCAGACCTCCCTGCCCCTCAGCTCTATGTCTTCTGAATCTCCGCATTGACTCTTGTGCTCTGCCTCATGTCTTGACCCTACCTGATGTCATCCCCATCCCCCGTGTCCCCTGACTGCTGCTGATCCAAGTTCCCTGAATGTCATGTCGTCTGACCCAGTGACCCCCTAGCCCTGTAACCCTACTCCCCTGTTATCTGACTCTGTGCCTACTGAGCACTGTGTCCACTCCCTGAGCACTATGTGTGTCTTCTGACCCCGGCCTTTGACCAACTCCCTGTCCTGTGTCACCAGAGGGGCCAGGCACCATGAACAAGTTACGGCAGAGCCTGAGGCGGAGGAAGCCAGCCTACGTGCCTGAGGCGTCACGCCCCCATCAGTGGCAGGCAGACGAGGATGCGGTGCGCAAGGGCACGTGCAGCTTCCCTGTCAGGGTGAGTGGGCAGAGCATGGGTGAGGGTGGGATGCATGCCGGTCCTAGCTGGGTGAGGTCCCGCCCTCTGTTGCAGAGACAGCGCATCCACAAAGAGCTGTGGAGCTTGTCCATGCGTGACCCCACAGCTTGTCCTTCAGAGTTAGGATTAAAAACCAGCACACTTTCTCTTGCACCAGGAAAATGTCACCTGGGGGATGTCCTGCCTGGGTCACCCGTTTTGTGGGAGCTGACAATTTCCAGAGGGCACTGGAAGGTCACAAAAATTTTGTTCCATTTGCAAAGCCCTCTATGACACTTTACAATGCACGCTACGCTTTAATACGGGAGATAGCAGATTCATGTTCAAATCCCAACTTGGTCCCTTCTTCTAGATCTCCAGATGCAACCCGTGAGTGTGAGGGGTCCTTTTGGGAGGCGCAGGAAATGCTGGTGGGAGTGAGGAAGGGAAGGCAGCCAATCACTGGTGGGTAGCTAAACTACAGCTGTGGGCAGCTGAGTTTCATGCCACTGGGGACTTTGGGAAATAGAGCCACCCACCCATAGCAGGAGGAAGCTGGGGTGTGTGTACCCCAACTCCCATGAGGCATTGCTGGGGCTAGCCCTCAGGTGCAGAGGTGCAGGTGCTAGCACTCAGAAGGACAACAGTGGTAGGTTAAGGCCCAGGGACAGGTGCAGGATGGGAATCACTACTGCCTGGTGTGCTTCAGTCTCTCATCTGTGTATCTAGGACGGAAATAGGGGACCTCCCTTGTAGAGTTGAGGTGCAGAGTAAATGAGTGCTAAGCACATATGATATGCTGAGGACATTGTGTGATGCATTGCAGCTGCTCAGGGAACACTAGGAATTATTGAATACTGTGCTTATTCCATGCCCTCCTGTTTTTCCTCCCTCCCAAGTACCTGGGCCACGTGGAAGTGGAGGAGTCCAGGGGGATGCACGTGTGTGAAGATGCAGTGAAGAAGCTGAAGGCGGTGAGCGAGGGGCTGGCACAGGGAGGGGCAAGTTCAGGCCAGAAGAGACAGCCCTGATCACGCCCTCTGTTCTCACCTTCCCCCAGATGGGCCGGAAGTCCGTGAAGTCAGTCCTGTGGGTGTCAGCTGACGGGCTCCGAGTGGTGGATGACAAGACCAAGGTAGGAGGCTCGTGGGGGTGGAAGAGGGCCCCTTTCCTCACCCTGCTTGAATGGGGCCGAGGGTGCTATCCCACCCACTGCTAGGATGTCCCTCCCTCAGGGACCTTCCAGACTACACCATGGGCTTCTGGAACATCTTGGCACACCTCACAGTCGTACTTCAGGTTCGAGTCCTGTGGTTAATTGTGAGCCGACATAGACAGTGAGTGAGAGCAGACTGGAGCAGCTGCCTCAGCTCCAGCCTACCCGCTCGCCCACCTATCCGCTGGGGGACCCTGGGTGTAAAATGCAACCCTTCTGTTCCTCAGTCTCGTCATCTGTCAAATGGGGATAATAAAAGACGCTACCATTACCTGAGAAAGCATATCACACGACCAGGTGTTTCCTCACCGAAAAGGGTTTTTTTGGGAAAGAGTTACAATCGAATGCAAGCAGACATGGCCAGCCTGGCTTGCGGGCCAACATGGAGGAATATTTATAGAAGGAAAAGGAAGTCAGGGAGGAGGAATTCAGAGTCATAGAGCTTTACTATAAAAACAGAGCTCTTCCTGTAGGGTTCTCGCAATTACGCAGAGTGCAAGGACTTCCAAAGCCCTAACCCCTCCCATGGACACTCCCAATGCACTGCTGCTCAGCGTGGCTGTTGGTCTTTATCACCTGGTGTGGTGTGCATACTCAGACCAGTGTTAGCTGTTAGGTGTGTGTTGTCAGTCTACCCAGCCAGACAGGAAGCCGTGGGGCCAGGATCTGGGTATCTGTCACTTTTGAATTCCCTGCCTCCAGCCCAGAGGCCTCTAGAGGAGGCAGCCAGTCCATGATGACAGTTAGGTTAATGACCGATCAGTATTGACATCTTTGCACAGGCAGTTCTCTCAGCCTGAATTTCTGTTCCCTGCCTTTTGCCTCTAGGAAGCTTTGCCTGACTCTACCTCCCCACCCAGGTTGGGACAGGCACCTCCTCTTCCCTGTGCCTCCCCATCCCTTCCCTGACCTCTGTGTCTGTGCCTCCCTTGTTACGGCCTGGTTGTGACTCTGGGCCCTCTCCTGGTAATGAGCCTGTTTCTGTGCTTAATTGGAAGTCCCATGCCTGCAGGGTCCATAGCAGGATCCACAATGACTGCCAGGTGCCTATCCCGGTCAGGATGGCTTATGGAGCAGACACTATGGGATGTTGAATGAATACGTGAAAGTTCACATTTCTCTCCTGGTCCTCCTGGCTTGTGACAGGACCTGCTGGTGGACCAGACCATCGAAAAAGTCTCCTTTTGTGCTCCTGACCGCAACCTGGACAAGGCTTTCTCTTATATCTGCCGTGACGGGACCACCCGCCGCTGGATCTGCCACTGTTTCCTGGCACTTAAGGACTCCGTGAGTATCACCAGAGCCCAGGGCCTGCTGACTCTTCTTTCTCATTCCCTGGCAGTCCAGCTCCATCCCCAGCCTGCTGAGTGGAGTCACACAAGCCATCACTTCTCCTCTCCAGGCCTGGGTCCTCATCTGGAAAAGGGACTGTACTCAGAGCTCCTAGCCTAGAGAATTGTTGTGGACTTGAATGGGTTAATACACAGGTGTTGGAATATGCCTGGGATATAGGAAGCACTCAGGAAAACACTGGTTATCATCGTCCTCCTTATTATCAGCAGTTCTTCATGTTTCTCTAACTTTTCTAATTGAGGATTATATACATACACTAGTAATATGCATTCTATGTCCAGCTCCATGAATTTTTGCTTATGGATAAACCCACCCAGGCCAAGTGGTGGGCTTTCCTGCCCCCAGCAGGCTCCCTCAGGCCCTTTTCAAACAATACCCCTTCCCCGACTCTTCCTTCAGCCTTGATTCATTTTGTCTTTGTTTCTTTATATTTTGGGAAGTCAAGGTCCCCTCAGAATCAGATGAAAGCAACAAATGGGCTCTTTTCAGAAGCATCCTCACAGTGAGGCTTGTGACAGAAAGCCCCCAATAGCAGTGATTTCAGTGCAGTAGAAGTTTGCCCCTGTCTCATGTGGAAGACACCCAAAGGCAGGCAGTGCAGCACGGTTGTGGCTCCCCTCCCTGCATCAGAGCCTCGGCTTCTCGATGTTGCTGCTATGCCAAAGTATGGCTACACTTCTCTACTTGCCAAAGATGGTGGAAACTAGAATCTTTATTCTGCCCTGAACTCTGGACCCTGAATTCAGTCCCTTGCCCAACTTTGTAGGAAACCACAGTCTCAGCCTCCTACGTCAGCCAGTTCTTTGGTTGCTGGCAAAAGAAACTAATCTGGCTAACTTAAATCTAAAATATAATTCATGGCCCTGGCCAAGTGGTTCAGTTGGTTGGAGCATTGTCCCATAAGCGAAGGGTTACATGTTCGATTCCCAGTCAGGGAACATACCTGGCTTGTGCGTTTGATTCCTGGTCAATCCCTGGTCCAGGTGCATTCAGGAGAAAACCAGTTGATGCTTCTCTCACATCCGTGTTTCTCTCTCTGTTCTCTCTCTGTCTCTTCTTCTCTCTCTAAAAGCAATGAAAAAATGTCCTTGGGTGAAAATTAAAAAAAAATTAAATTAAATGCACAGCCCTGACCAGTGTGCCTTAGTTGGTTGGGCATCATCCTGTGAAGCAAAAAGTCGCTGGTTCAATTCCCAGTCAGGGCACATGCCTGGGTTGGGTGTTCAGTCCCCAGTTGGGACACAGGAGAGGCAACTGATCAATGTCTCTGACATCAGTGTTTTTCTCCCTCTCTTTCTCCCTCCCTTCCTCTCTCTCTAAAAAGAAATAAATAAAATCTTTTTTAAAAATTTCATGGAAGGATATAAGAAATCTCACAAAATCAAAAGGTGGCCCTGGCTGGGAGGCTCACTTGGAGTGTTGTCCCATGCACCAAAAGGTTACAGGTTTGATCCCCAGTCAAACCTGTAAGCCCCAGTCAGCCCCAGGCACATACGAGGCTGAGGGTTCTATCCCTGGTCAGGGTGGGTACAAGAGGCAACCTATCCACGTTTTTCTTTCACATTGAAGTTTCTCACTCTCTCCCTTCCTCTCTCTAAAATCAATACATATATCATTGGGTGAGGAACACAAAAAAACCAAAGGACAGTTGGAACATTAAGCATCAGAAAGGGCAGAGAGCAGGGCAGCCTGGAGCCACTGCACTAGGGGACAGTTCCATCAGGGCACCATTGTGAGATGAACCTGCCTCCCAATGCTTCGGTCCGATTTCTGGTGAGAGGGTATGGAATTGGCCTGGCTTGGGTCCCTGGCTTCCCCTTGGCCGGGGGAGGGTGGAACACCCAGACGGACTTAGCCAGTATTGAAAAGGAGTTTCCCAAAGGGAATCTGTGGTGCTGTTATCCAGAGCAGGGAGATAATGGGCAAGTGAAACAACTCCTGTACCTTGCAGACCTTACTAGTCTACTCAGGGATTCCTGCGTGCTTCAGAAATCCCCACTGCCAAGAGCTCTGAGCCCCACAAACGAGCCAATACCCTCAACGTCCTCACTTGTTCACACCATTTCAGACCTGAAAGCAGGCGTGTCAGTATTGATTAGTCAGCATAGATCGGTGCCTGCCAAGGGCTAGTGTGGAGATATTTGAGATGCAGAGACCATAGCAACTGCTATTTCTGGAGAATAGCGTAGTAGTTGTCTCAGTTATCTGTTGTGCATAACAAGTTTCTCCAAAATTTAGTGGCTTAAAATTCCAATCACTTATTGCCTTGCATGTCTCTGTAGGTAAGGAGTGTGGGAAGGCTCAGTGAGTATCTGGCGCTGGGTCTCTCACACTGCTGCAGTCACAGTGTGCGTCACTTGGGAGACCACAGCATGGATGCTTGAGGAAAGCTGGATTTCTCACATGGTGGCACAGGGCTCCAAAATGGGGAGGGGCGGAGGGAAGGAGAGAGAGGGGAGAGACTGAGATTGCTTTAACCCTAGTACTAACCAGGAGGAAGCTATGTGGCCTTTTTGGACTTGGAAACCACAGCATTGCTTCTGTGGTATTCTGTTTGTCCAGACAAGGACAGAGGTCTTCCCAGACGAAGTAAAGACAACACTGACCCTACTTCTGATGGGAGAGAGACAGGGTTCTGGAAGAGCATGTGGGGCCAGAAATTTGTTGCAACTCTTTTTTGTTTTGTCAGGGGTTTTTTTTGGCTGGGTATAGTGAACTTCATTGATGACAAGATAGGGCTTCCTAAGCCCCTCCCCTTCTTCAATGTTTTATTTATAAAATCCCGTGTTTCATCTAAGAGTTTTATAGTTTTAGCTCTTACATTTAGGTCTTTGATCCCTTTTGAGTTAATTTTTGGGAATGGTGTCAGGTAGGGGTCCATCTTCATTTTTTTCCATATGTATATCTGTTGTCCCAGCGCCATTTGTTAATGAGACTATCTTTTCTCCATTGAATAGTCTTGGCCCCAATATTTCCAAGAAAATCAATGGACCGTAGATATGCAGGTATATATCTGGGCACTCAGTTATTTTTCATCAGTCTACTTGTCTATCATTATGCCAGTATCACACTTTTTTGATTACTGTAGCTTTAGAGTAAGTTTTAAAATCTAAAAGTGTAAGTTCTATTTTGTTCTTTCCCCAAATTGTTTTGGCTATTCTGAGTCACTTGCAATTCCGTGTAAATTATAGAATTAGCTTTTTCATTTCTGTGAGACTCCATTGGGTTTTGATAGAGGTTACATTAAATCTACAGATCACTATGGGAAATATTGCTATTTTAACAGGATGAAGTCTTCCAATCCATAAACATAAGATGTTTCATTTATTTAGGTCTTCTTTAATTTCTTTCAGTAGTTTTTGAGAAGATTTTATTTATTTTGAGAGAGAGGGGAAGGGGGGTAGAAAGAGAGGGAGAGAAACATCAAAGTGAGAAAGAAACAACCATCAGTTGCCTCTCAGATGCCCCCAACTGGGGACCTGGCCCACAACCCACGTGGCCAGGCACGTGCCCTGACAGGGAATCAAATCGAAGACTAGTTTGTGGGGTTATGCCCATCCCACTAAGCCATACTAGTCAGGGCTTTTTTCAATAATATTTTGTAGTTTTCAGTATTTATTTCTTTCATTTCCTTGGTTATATTTATTCCTAACCATTTTGTCCTTTTAGATGCTTTTGCAAATGAAATTATTATCTTAATTTTATTTCGAATTGTTCACTGCTACTGTATATAAATGTGACTTTTATTGATCTTGTATTTGAACCTTTCCTGAATTAATTTATTTTTTTCATTTTTTAAATGATTTTATTTATTTACTTTTAGAGGGGAAGTGAGGGAGAAATAGAGGGAGAGAAACATCAATGTGTGGTTGCCTCTCATGCGCCCCCTACCAGGGGCCTAGCCTGCAACCTAAGCATGTGCCATGACTGGGAATTGAACCAGCAACCTTTTGCTTCACAGGCTGGCAGTCAATCCACTGAGCCATACCACTTAGGGCTGAATTAACTTATTAACACTAACAATTTATGGATTATTTAGGACTCTCTACATGCAAGATCATGTCATCTGCAAATAGAGATAATTTTACTTCTCCCTTTCCAACTCGGATGCCTTTATTTCCTTTTCCTGTCTTATTCCTCTGGCTAGAACTTCCAGTATACTGTTGAATAGAAGTGATGAGAATGAAACATCATGAAGTGATAAATGAAACATCTTATGTTTATGGATTGGAAGACTTCATCCTGTTAAAATGGCAATATTTCCCATAGTGATCTATAGATTTAATGTAACCTCTATCAAAACCCAGTGGAGTCTCACAGAAATGAAAAAGCTAATTCTATAATTAAGTGATGAAATGGATATTCTTTTGTGTGTGTGTTTTATTGTTCTTCAAGTACAGTTGTCTCCATTTTCCCCACACCCTCCTGACCTCCCATCCCCTCTTCTCACCCTTGATTCTGCCCCCTTTGGCTTTGTCCATGTGTCCTTTATACATGTTCCTTGATGAACCTTCCCCAACTTTCCCCCATTAACCCTCTCCCTTCCCCTCTGGTCACTGTCAGCCTGTTCTCAATTTCTGTGTCTTTGGTTATATTTTGCTTGTTTCTTTGTTTTGTTTACTAGGTTCCTGTTAAAGGTGAGATCATATGGTATTTATTTGTCTTTCACCACCTGGCATATTTCGCTTAGCATAATGCTTTCCAGCTCCATCCATGCTATTGCAAAGGGTAGGAGCTCCTTCTTTCTTTCTGCTGCATAGAATTCCATTGTGTAAATGTACCATAGTTTTTTTATCCATTCATTTACTGATGGGCACTTAGGTTGCTTCCAGCACTTGGATATTGTAAATTGTGCTGTTATGAGCATTGGGGTGCACAGGTTCTTTAGAATTGCTGTTTCAGGATTCTTCGGGTATAATTCCAGCAGTGGTAAT